GGTCTGCAAGCATGATGCAACATTTATGCCCACCCAAATTTCCATGCAAGACGGTGATTCTGATGTCCTCACCTTCCAGCTCTCTTGAGAAAATAGGAAGAAAAGACAGGGCACCAGAAGAATCGAATTTACAGTGCTCCGGGCTCTTACGCTGTCCCCCCACTCTTTTCACCAGGCATAAAAAGCACATATTCGTACAGTATACTTCCAGATTATGTCTGATTTCCTGGGATCCTATAACCCAACGCCCCGAATCTATGCGGTACTGCGTAGAGAGAGATCATGGAGGTCATAGTGTTGTTGGAATCTTGGTTGCTCGATGTAGCATTAGGGCGGGATGGGTAGGTGGCTAGGTAGGTAGAGGTATCTAGAGGTAGGTGGCTATGGTAGGTAGGTTGGCGTTGACTTACATCGCAGCCCGCAGACAGCAAATGCTGGTAGGGGATTGTCCAATGGTCTCTTCTCGTCGACGTTCTCGACTGAAATTTTTCTTTATCTTTTTCATTCTATACTCTTATCCCCGCCTTTTCCCCTACCAAATGGATTGGACGTAGCAGGTGGTGGATGACATGGGAATTGAATTGTACCTAGGTCGGGCAATGGTCCGCCAACCCTTCAAGTCTTGGCAGCACGAGCACGGGCCACCCACACCGCTCGGCGGTCGATTGATTCTGTTACACAGTAGGTTTGCGGTACAAAACGGTCACTTACTCTGCACAACGGACGGCGGGCGGCGCCAAGTGACCAACCAACAACCAACAACCAACCAACCGCTGGCGAAGCTGACCAACATGACATGTTGCGAACCGACCAACATTCGGTCAACCAAGATCATCATCAGGTCGACTGATCAATCCAGACATTCATTTTTCAATTCAGCTGGTGAGCAACGCAAAATTAATACGAAAAGACGCTCGCTCTGCTTTTCCTTAGTCCGCCCACCCATATAGCTGTATAGTTTCAAGGAGGGCTACTACACACGGGCTCACCAAAAGAGTGGTCAATTTGTTTGAGTGTACTGCTTCTCTCTCTTCTTTTTTATTTTTATTTTTTTATTTTTTTATTTTTTTATTTTTTTTTGGAACCACCAACTGTACCACCCTCGCAATCAAAACCAAATCAATCAATCAATCAATCAATCAATCGACGAAAGGCATGTATGCATACATGCGGCTCTTCACCACCGGCCGGCTCCATCACACGCTCCAGCCAACACGTCCGATCAGTGAGTGGTGCCCCACCAAACCCGGATTGACGTCAGGGTGGTCATGATGATAATCCCGCCCGCCCACCGAGTCCCGTAGTGGAGGATGTACATGTATTTGGAGAAGAAGGTTACATCGCGAACTCTTTCCTTTTCCACCGGAATCCCCCTCCCAAGACCCAATACGTCCACTTAGGTGTACGCAGTAAGCCTGCATATACGAGGAGTGACAAGTTTGGAATCCACTTTATGTGCAATATGGAAGCCGCCTGCCTGGCGGCCGTGATGGTCATGAGATGGATTAGTAGATGCAATTTGGAGTTGGAGACTACCTCTAGGTACCTACCTACCCAGGGACCGAATCGCTAGATAATCCGTTCAAACACCCACATTAGGCAGTCGACGATGCTCAACTACTGTACATGGGAGTACACAAAAGCGGAAGAAGCAAAAGATCAGCTGTAACGTATCATTATACCACGTGGGTTGAGTAGAGGTAAGAACTAGCACGACCGAGGCAGATACGGACTAACTTACTGACATAAGATAGGTAGCAGTGTCCGAATCGAGGTAAACGATGCGAGACTTTAACCTGATTCGACCCGAGCTGAAAACGATAAAGACCGGTCCGAACAAAAGACACCAGAGTTTGTCCGGCGGTCTCGGCGCGGTGTTCGTAAAAGGTACGGTACCTACAACTACCTCTACGGACCCTGGGCCCGATTTCGCCTCATTGGGCGTATACCCGTGTCGAGGAGCCGTATGTAAACCGGATGAGAGATCGACATCTGGAATCATGTCAGCTATGGCTTGGCCCGGAAGTAAGTTGCCGGACCTTTGAACAATCAATGTCTTCCAGGGACTTGTTTCTTTTTTTCTTCTTTTTTCTTTTTCTCTATGTCGTAAAGGGAAGGGAACTAACGTGTGTAGAGGTAGACATATTTTAGGTATCCTTTCGCGACCTTTGCAAGACAGGAGGAATCCAAGTATGGAAACCTGTGCCCCCCAACAAAAAAAAAAAAATCACGAGAAGTCGGTATTTCCATATTGCACCTACACACCAATTGACCGTTGAGGCGCCTGGCCTGACCCTCAACCAGCCAGCCCTGTGATACAACCGCGCCATTGTACATACGATCCGGCGCCTTGCATTACCTACCTATTTTGGCGCACAGGCAGCCATCAAAAGCAGCAGAAAGCGATCCCACCCACACCTTCTTTCCGTATGTCTTCCCCGCATTTCCGGACCCCTTCGAATACGATGTTAGTGGACTGCCCAGGCGGATGTCAGCAAATGGAGGCGCAGAGATCGCCGGCTGCGGAAGCAACGGGAACGGTGAGACTGCGGCTCCATGGTGGGCTTGACTTGGCTTTTTGCTTGGCGGCATTGGCGAATGGGGAAATGATATCATATGTGGTGACATGGACGTCCGACTATACCACCACCATCACCGACCGACATTATTCGTATTGCTGAGCTGAGGTGAACTCGACTCGATCAAGGTGGTATTGGAGTTAATGGAAAAGCAATATCGTATCTGCCGTTGATGCCTTGTGTCTTATGACTAGGTGGTTTCGGCAACACTGGCGGTTTGGACGACGTCGTCTGGGACGACAAGTCTACAGGTACTCTAGCTAACAATCCAAGGCTTCGACGACTTTCGACTGCATACCTACCTCTACCATCCGACCCAATCACGGACTAATGGACCCTTGCATTTGCATTGTTAAAAGGCTGGAACAAACCTGTGCTTCCACGCTGCCGACAGCCGGTCTGATGTCTTGGAAGGAGAGAGATCTTCGATCGTGGAGACCCTTGGGGTCCTTGGCCAAGCACCTCCAGGTATAGTACGAGCTGAAAAAGAAAGCCTACCAACGTTGAAGCCAGTCAGCAGTGTACCACGTCAGTAAATTGCGGGTACCTCGTGTTGAGGCTTGGTACCTATCCAGGTGGTGTGAAAATTACTGAATTCAGACACTCGTGGTGTAAGTGTGTCCGGGGTATCTCACCGTCCACACATACTCCGCCTCGGCCATCTGACATCTCCACGAGATGGATGCTATTTCGAGGCAAGAGTGGATGGATGGGATGTAACCATTTCCCGTTTTGGATCTGATGCGGTGGGAAGCGGAATATCTGCGGTGGGAACATTGTTGTCAGCCAAGTCGATGATGTCGATCTGGAGTTCTTCAGTGTATATAAGAATCCAGCAAGCTCCTCGAGTTACCTCCTGTTTCTTCCATCTCATCATCACCATCATTCAACCATACAAACAAACAAGTTTCACCCTCCAAAGACCAAAAGCCAAAGACAACTCTTTACCTATCCTCCACCAACAACAACACACTCAACCAAACTAAAAATGCAACTCACCACCCTCCTCGCCCTCGCCACCGCGGCCGTGGTCCCAGCCCTCGGCGCTGTCATTCCCAGAGCAGTCGGCAAAGCCACCGTCCTCAACCACTGCTCCATCCCCGTGACCCTCTGGTCCGTGGGCTCCTCCGTCTCGGCGCCCGTCGCCCTCGCCGCCACCAACGGCACCTACAGCGAGGAATTCGTCAAGGACCCCGTGACGGGCGGCAAAGCGCTCAAGATCACCACCACATCCGACGGCCTGTACACGGGCGCGCCCGAGCTCATCCTTGCGTATTCGCTGGACGGCAGCAACGTCTGGTATGATTTGAGCAGTGTCTTTGGGGACGCGTTCAAGGGACATAAGGTCACGGTGACGGGCAAGGGCACCGGAAGCTGTGGGGCGATTGAGTGGGCGGAGGGAACGCAGCCGGCGGGAAGCCAGACCAAGGTGTGTGGGAGCGCGGGGGATGTGGTGTTGGATTTGTGTGCTGCTTGAAGCATCTGGGCATGATCGAGAAGATCAGGGGAGGAAGAATAGGCTACCTAAAAGCATGGTGGATCTAATATGGCTGTACATATATGACGGAGGAAGAAACGACATGAAGGGGAAGATTGGCTTTTACGACTTATGGATGGCATGAAAACACGATCGAAGGACGGAGAAGTACAAGTACATATTTCCAATAACGAATCACGCACATAATATCTAACATCTTGTCGGACATCCGTGGCATGTATTAACAATTCCTGCATTGTATTTCGATCCAAACACGTTCCCAAAGCCATGTATAAGGTATAAACGGTGTCTTCTTCCACCACTTCTATTCCTTTCTTTTCTTCTTCTTTAACCAATTCAAGCATTCTCACTTCTATTGTGCTAATATACGTGATACTGCATGCTCAGAGAACTTCGACACATCTTTCAACATCCATCTCCTTCTCACCGATTCCCACATTAGCACATGTAAACTTCCAACACGATCCATTGCCCCCTTTGTATTCCCACCACCGAGTGTCCTCCCCATACATCTTCTTCCTTCTCTTCCTCCAACAACCCCCCTTAGGCCCTCACCGACCCTAACCCCTCCTTATGTCCCTTCCCTCTCCCCCCAAAGTCCTCTAAACACCCCTACCCTTCCCTCCCTGACATGAATCGTCCCCACCCCGCCCGACCCACAACACCAGACACCAGGGCATCCCAACATGGACCGCCCGGCATCACAAATTCACAATCCACCACCGAAAAAAACCTTTTCCAAACATTGCCACTGCAAATCCACGCACTCATAAGCCCAGATCCTATCCCTTCCCTTCAACAACACAAGGCAGCTTGCAACAGCTGCCCGGCTAGCTCAATCGGTAGAGCGTGAGACTCTTAATCTCAAGGTTGTGGGTTCGACCCCCACGTCGGGCTCAATTCCCGATGTTCCCAGCATTGCAATCTGGGACAACATCATCATTTTTGCATCTTTTTCTTCTATTTTTCCAGCCTTTTGGTTCTTTTCTTGTTGGCTTGGGTAGAGGTAGGCTGGGTGGAGTCTTTCTTTCCGGTTTACGTGGATATACGGGAAGACATGTTGACGGATGGGAGATGGGCATGGTGCATGATAGAGGCATCGATTCCGACCAAGATATTGCATCTCATTTTGTGACCAGCTACTCCTGCTTGCCTTCCCTCGCCAGTCAACACTGCAGTCTTTGACGACTTTGTCCGAGGAGCATTTCAAGCCGCCAGATCAGCGGAGACAGCACAATGAACCGTTGTTTTGGATCTGTAAGGGCATATGATGGTCTCTTTTACTCTCCCACGTCACAGAAACATGCGAACTGCTTTCAGACTGTCAAAGATAGTTTCATACATAGAACACTTGTTACGCTTCCTATATTCCCGCTACGGTATATACATCTATCGAAGGAAATCTCCCACTTTCTCTTTCACTCCTTCCTCTTCCTCAATCAACAAGTTCACCACCACTCTCGTTTACCCTCGTAATCACTCGCTTCACTTCAACACACTTCCACACAGACACCAACGGTTATTCCTCTCAGTACTCCTTTGATGCCAGCCCGTAGTTGGGCATTTCCTTAAACCACCCTCGTAACCACTCGCTTCATCACACTTCCACACAGACACCAACGGTCATCCCTCTCGGGACTTCCTTTGCGGCCCGTAGTTGGGCATTTTCCTTGAACCATCCCCTGTGCCTCGTCATACTTGTAGGCATGGAATTCGATTCCAGCCACCACCCACGCGAAAACAACAAGAAAACCCGGAACGTTTGGCCTCGTTCTGCAGCATCTCGGCATGTTCCTGCATCTCTTTGAATGCCCTTAGTCCACACCCATATCGTCAACCCACGTTCCTTGGGCGGCCTTGGCCGCGGCCGCTTCCTCCTCCTCCTTCTTCTTCTTGGCCTTCCACTGGTCCACCACTATCTTCTCTGCCAGTTGCCGGACCGAGCTCTCCAGCTGCTCTTCCTGCTTGCCAGTGAGTTTCTGGCCGAGGGACTTGGGCGGGGTGCCGGGTTCGTCACTGGATTGATGGAAATGTAAGTGAGTTGAGCTTTACTAGCGATCATGTGGATGATTTAACATGCACCACGGGCGCGCGCGCGCGTGTGTGTGTGTGTTTTTTTGGATGGAAGGCCTGGCTCAAAGGCTGATCCACTGGTGCCAGTGTCTTTTCTTTTGTGCGAGGTATGTTGGCGTCCCCTTGGGAACTTGAACCGAGAATAACGGACAAGTCAGGGGGAATGAGGCCACTGTCAATAAGAAGAAAGTCACTCACCAGTCTATGGGCAACGCATGGTACTGTCGTTCGCTCAGCCTTCTTGCTTGACTCATCTTGAGTCTGGTATTCCCCAGCATGTTAGAAGCTGCAAGCCAGAAGCGTACGCGGCAGGTAGGGAAACCAACTCGTGGGCGGGCGGTGGCGATCTGGAAGCAGTTTATTTCTTGGGAGATGCGTTCTCCAAAGTACAAAACCTCTGCTGAAAACGACAATATCAGTAAAAGGTTAGACGTCGAGAAGGTTGTGGATGAAGGATGATTCGGGGTACGAACGAGGATGTGAGGAGAGTGCTTGAGAGAACTCGTGAATTGGTTGGGCGCTCAGAAAATTTTCACAATTCAGGAAGAAGTTCGCGTTAAATACTGAAGACACTGTAGGCTGTCCACTTGGACGTCTCTCGAGACGGGATGGAAGTCGCGTTCCTAAAGCGCGGGCCTGCCTGGCAGTCAAGCAGCCGGGGCTACCAGAGTCCAGACTCCAATCACCCCGCGGCTGCCCATACTGGGTACCTCTATGACCTTGGAGCAATCTCGTAGCCTGAAGCTCGGCTCCGTGTCTTTTAGCCATGAATGGAAGGCACGCCCCTAAAAGGTTGAGACAGTTTGTGGATCGGGAGTGCTGCTATGTCGTGATTCGCAAGATACCTCTACCTCTACTGTACTGGCTAACCCGCCAGCCGCATGACGGAGCAAGCACTGCAGCTTCAGATCCCCGGGGGTTCTTCTTTCCTGGAATTGTCCAGTTAGAGGTATCTGTGCGTAATAACCGAAGAACCTTCCACGCTCCCACAAAGTGTCAAGATTTTGCACTGTCTGGACTCCTGACTGCTGACCGCAATCTCGTAACTTCTGCTCCCGTTTTTTGCTTAGACGGGAAGGCGCGCCTCTTGAAGCAGGCTGTGAATCGTGACTCGTGAGGAAGGCTGGGACATAAGATGGCCCTCAAGGTACTGGCTAGAGGTATCTAGAGGTAATTAGCTGCACAAGATGGCAGGCTGTATCCAGAGCTCCTTCTTTCTTCTTCTGTGGGCACACTAAAGTGGCACTTTGCAGTCTCTCATACTGCCCTCCTCACTGGAGGTGCCGTTGGTTTCCGGACTCTTAGGACTCCGAAAAGGAGACCATAGGTGAGTTTCCATCGCATAGAAAGGTGAAAACACTGTGCAGTGTTCAATGATCAACTGGCTCACGGTTTAAGATCACCGCAACAGGTCTTATTGTTGTCTCGTTGTTCCTTCGTCATCAAGGGTGACTGCCTAACATGGCTTTCCTCCCGCGATCGCCGATGATGGGATTCAGAGGGGCTACCTACTAGCCACAATCTCGCAGGTTTTCCTCCGGTACATGCCCCAGATCTTCACAAGGTGGGAAGGTGCACTTCCTTCCGAGGACTGTTGAACTCTGCGATCACACGGACACTTGACCAGACACTTGTGCATCCCGTTACGTAGGTCTCAAGGCTGGCCATGGTTCAACTGCAGAGGGGAGGTGTTCCTGCCCTCTTAACGTTCCTTCATCAGTCATTGCCTCAATGAGCTGCAGACTGCCGACTTGTTCCTCGTGCCACTCAGAAAAATCTCTTCTCGTGATTGCCACCGTTGGAGAAAGATGGCTTCCTGCCGCTAGAGGTACTAGAGGTAACCAAAGAGGTGCTCGTCATGCGGTAGCGGCCTGACGGTCAAGCAATAGAAAGACTAGAAGAAGAGTCAAGAGTTCCTTCTGTCCTTCAGGGCATGACTGTGCCCGGTACCTGAGCACTCTCTGTTGAGAAACCGCCCATGAAAGGCCGGGAACCCAGAAGATTCTGTCGGATTTGACCAAGACTGAGTCATGGAGCCTCCAGGCTGCATTATTGGAAGTTCAATCGGTTGGAGCAGGCGTAAGACTTTCAAGCACCCGTAACTTCCACTTTGTAATAGATTCGCAAGACTGGACCGGACTCCGTGATTGGAAATGTCATCGATCAGCGTCTGATCCTGAAGAGTGCCCGATTACAACCTGCAAGTGTCCTCGAGTGCCATGTTAAGAAGTTCAAAGGTGGCCCTCCACAAAAGGCGATTTATTAGAACTTGTTTTGTGTCGTGAAGACTGGACTTTGTCTTTGGAAACCAATGATCGCGATCGCTCTGGTGCTAGGAACACATGCAATGTTCCTGTCTTGAGGTTGTGAGGCGCCTTGGGTGCAAGCTGAAGACCGAAGACCAGACCAGCGTCATGTTTTGTGTCGGCGATGTTGTCCTTTCTGCACGTGGTATACAATCACGAAGAGTTCCAGGTTGCTTGAGTTTTCTGCTTGGTTCCACGGTAGAGGTGATGTCTGCCGAGATCAAAACCGACGGCATAGTGAATGGAAAGCTCGTCCTAACATGTTGTGAAGTGTTCGGCATCACACCACAATGAACACAATAATCACGGTGAGCAAGAGGTGGAAAAAAGGTTTTCTGTGTATATTCTTTGGCACCCATTCACCGGCACTCTCTTCCAGGCTTCTAGACTACTCTGATTTCCGTTTCACCCCTTCTACTATTAGTACAGAATCAAGCCCATCTTCCGTCGTCGCCCTCCCACCTCTGCCAGAAAAAGAGAGAGAAAGAGAGAGAGAAAGAGAGAGAGAGGAGAAAGAGAAAGAGAAAGAGAGAGAGAGAGAGAGGAGAAAGAGAAAGAGAAAGAGAAAGAGAGAGACTACAGTACAAGTACACACCTCTTCTCAGCCCCCCAACTAACATTAAGACATCACACCGGCCAACCCAACAAGACGATACACCAGCCACGCCAACAGAACAATACACCGGCCACCCAACAAGACAATGCGCCGGCCACACCAACAAGACAATGCGCCGGCCACACCAACAAGACAATGCGCCGGCCCCCGGTCACACCAGCAGAGAGAAGAGTCTCGAGGCGAGGCTGGGTACAGGACCAGGGACCAGCGTTGAGGGGCCCCTCTTGGGCCTGGACAATGAGGCGGCCTGTCGTTTCCGGACAGTTAGCTGGATGCCTCCAGGAGCTTGGTGGTAAGAGGACCGTGTCTGGCCACGGATGAAGATACTTACCAACTTGAAGCTTGGCTATGCGCCGGCCACACCAACAAGCGATTGCTCCCTTGATCCCGCCACCGCCAATTGTTTGGCCTGCCCCATCTGGGAGGCGTTTGTCTTGAGGAACGCGTGCTGGTACTCGACGATATGTCGGCGTTGAAACTTGCTGACGTGAAAAAAAGGTCAAAAAGGAAGGGAAGAGAGGAAGGGAGGACGAAATAGAAAGCAGTGTGGAAATGCTTACGACAGGAGGATGGACGGTCACGCATCCTGAGGCTAGATGAGGACGCCAGACGGCGAGTCTCCTTCGCAGCCTGAATGTTCTTCTTGTCTTCCCCGCTTCTGATCTAACCAGGGGCACGATCAGGTTAGTCAAGTACTCGAGCAAGGCTCTGTGATGAGGCAGCGGTGAGGACTTGGAAGAGAACAAGGAAAATGATTACTAACGAAGAAGCAGGAGAAGACAAGCCGGTCCCCGTTGTACTGGGGGTAATGTTGGACACGGGGAGCCGCATTTGCCGCAGGAGGTGGTAAGGACGGTCTGGGTGCACATCCTGGCGGCATCCTCGGTCTTGAGTGTGTGCCCTTCTGCTTGTGGCATGTTGAATTGAAGATGAAGATGATGAAAGGAGGAGGAAGAAGGAAGAAATTTCGTGGGGGATGGGGAGAACTTTATTGCCCAGCCAAGCGGGGAAATCGCACGAAAGATTCGTCTCGGTAATGACATACCCAGCTGATGTACTTGGTACTTCATTCACCCTTATCTGTGTCACACTATGCTTCCATCTAGTTTCAGTGGGTTGTGTGTAGGGCACATCCGCCCGGGACAAATCCAAGTGGACCAGCTTGGGGAGCCCCCTATCTCAACCGGGAGAAGAGCTATTTGGATCAGGAAAATTTGGAGAAGTGGTTTTCGACATGTTGGAAATCCGTCGTCGAAGTTTGATAGGATCCTATGGTCAGGTTGTAGTCCATATTGACGAGTCCTTTTGACCGATCTACTCAATCATGTCCCGCAGTAATGTGCCCCGACCGGAGATGATCCTCCCCGCGTGAGGAGTTGGTACCTACACTCCGAGTTTGTCAGGCGGCATGCAAGATTGAAGGAAGGAAGGAGCTTCAGACGAGACGACAACGCTGCCTTCTTGCTGGCAAGATCGATCTTCGATCCCATCCGCCCCTCAAGCTTCTCTCAAGTCGCCTCTCTTCCTCACCCTCTATCTTCCCCTCAAGACACTCCCTTTCCTCTTCTTGCTTGTTACATACAGCATTTCAGAGGTCTTTGGCCATCCACAGTCACTCAGACCACACACAAATCATGGATTCCAATCTCCATCGCGAAAAAAGAATGTAGGTCCCCTTCTTTTGATCTCATAGAGGTAACCTCTGTCCCAATTCTACCAGCGCCCTCATTCTCAGTCGGCACTGTTTCCAGCCTCATAATGCTCTCGCGACCTGGCATGGGCACGACAAAGGAGTGTACAGCAACTCAACCTCCAAGCGAAAGAGAAGAGTCTCAAAGATGATGCGTTCCTTGCTTTCCCTCCACTTTTTGTCCATGCCGCTCTCCTCGGTATCACGTGATCCCCAAACCTTCCTTTTGTTGTTGACATTACCCGGACTATGTCTGATTCCATTACTCCGTTTCGATAGAATGTAAGCGCTGTCTCACAGTCGCCTTTGCGGGCGACCGACAAGTGCCACAAGCACGTGTTCAAACTCGGGGAGTGCTACTCGCTCAGGAAGTGTGGTGTACCTCACGGGGCAACTTCCATGGTGAGTCTACCTTCAACCCATCTACCAGCCAAGGAGTTCACGAGCTAACGGAACATCATGGCAGTCCCTGAAGCATCGTCACCACCACCACCACCACTACCACTACGACTACCACCAACGACGACGGCAACAACAAAGCCCTGGATTCAATTCCCAGGCACTACAGTCGTCTCCACCAACCACCGTAGTGGCACCAAGGGTCCTAACCACGACAAGGAGAACATCCAAGCTGGAGTTAAACCGACATAGCGTTGGTAAGCCAACCCAGAAGCAGACCACATCCCGAGATCCGACCACATCACCCGGCCCCTTTTTCTTCTATTCAACGAGGAGGCACAAACAGTGCTCTCGTCTCTAGGGGTTGTGTGATGACTTGCATACAATGGAGGGCATCCTGGGCTCCAAGCCCGGCTTTTGTTTTGCGGTGAACTTGGGAGACCAACGGCTGTTGAATGCCAGCAGCAGTGGTGGAAAGGGACGGACATTAGCTTAATACTCTCTTTTGGCGATGTTAGTGGTGGTGTAAAATGAGCGGGGTTGGGTCTCTTGTTGAAGTTCCTGTATCATCTCTTGGAGGGCTGTATCCTTTGTACCTGTATGTGTTGGGAGGCGCTGTTGCCCGGGAAGCAATGTGGGCTTGATACATGCAGAGGTAGAAAATGTACCTCTACATTAGAGCACATGCCTTTTCCATCCAATCGTGATGTACTCTCTGCCTGCCTGTACCCTCATGCACTGGAGAGTTTCCCGCCAAGATGCATGTTGATGTCAATGGAAGTCGGGCATTCCCAGCGAAGCACCTGAGAAGCACAAGTGAATCAGGATACCCAAATGCTTGTCCGTATTAAGAGACAAAGATTCCTTCTCCCCAAGGTTCTAGAGTAGAGGTATGAACAAGCAAGCACTTCCCGTTAAGCTTGGTCAAGCTAATGGCTAACTTCTTTCCTCTTCAGGTCCTTCCACCCAGCCAGCCTTCCCAACCTCCAGCGAGCTCGCGATGCCGCTGCCCCGAACATTCTCGAGCTTTGTATGTACCTGCCGACCACCGACCGAGGGCCACGATCAACCGACCGAAGATACAAAAACCAGTAATGAAGAGTGGGAACACGTAGAGAGATTCCGGAAGACACACGAAGGGCGATTAGGATGAGCTCTTGGAGCTCAGAGGACCACAAGTTTGACGTGAGCTTGAAGCATCTTGACCGGCAAAACCGGGACACTCGACCACCACCTTTGCAACCCATCAGGTTCCCTGAAGCTAAAAGCTTCCGCGCTTGCACTGGAAGTCGAAGTTTCGTCTCCAAAAAGACTTCCCCGTCTGCAGCGTTCCAGGAGAATGCCTGGCGCTGGCCACGAAATGCTGCCCGCTTGTTGACATCCATCCAGGTCGTCTGCGCGAACTTATACTACCTACCTCTACCTACCTCTAGTCTCTAAACAAACGGCGGCCTCCTCGTCGCTGCAGAGAACGTCTAGTCCAGGATTCAAGATTCTAGGTACCTAGGTAGCTGTTCGACCGAGGCTGGGGTGAAACTCTGGTATAAAGCTTACCAGTCTTGCCCGGCCGGCCACCTAGAAGTATCATGAACCACGCGGCCATACAAGGACCAGCAAATGGCTGGGAAGCAACATACCTAGGTAGTATTACCGTACAAGATGGCAAGAGGTAGGTAGGTAAGCAAACTTGCCTTTTATTGAACTAATAGACATTACACAAATAGAGGTAGATCTCATCCCGACCAGCGGCTGTATTATTGTCTAGGTACCTACCTCTAGGGTATAGACACACTATTATATTAAAATCGTAACATTCTCCTCCCCCCCCCCTCCTGATGGTCAGCTAACAGCCTTCTGGTAGATGGCTGTCAACTACCATGTATTAGTATTAAGCGGCATGCCTTCCACCTCAGCAGGCACTCATTAAGTAGTATATTTACTCCCCAAACGTACTCGCCCTCGGCCCTATCGGCGGCCTAGTAGGTGTACCGTCCCGCGGTCCAGTACCTGTACTGACCACCTCTCCCTGAAGTCCCGCCCAAGTCCCACCATCCAGACCCTGTCCCTGACCCTGACTCTGTACGCCTCCCATCATCGTCATCTGCCTAGAGGTAGAGGTAGTAGAGGCAGTCTCCGACATTCCCCTCTCCCTTCCCCTAGTGCTAGCACCGCCGCCGCCGTATTGCTGCTGCTGCTGCTGCTGTTGCTGCTGACTAGCAGGTCCCTGGTATCCCGGGTATTTCAATCCCATGTGGCCTGCGATCTGGTTCGGTGATAGTGGTGGAGGGAAGGAAAAGGGGCGGGTTTGGTTGTTGAGGGTGATGGCTGCTGGTTTTGGTCGTTGGATTTGGATTGGGGGAGAGGGAGGAGGAGGCGCTATTGTCGGGTGTTGTCGTTGTTGTTGTTGGTGGTGAGAGGTTATTTCGGTGGCCTTTTGGGGAGGCGGGGGAGATGAATGCCCCTGAGGAGGTGGATTGTTGTCGGGCGTGTTGTTGTTGCTGTCTTGACTGAGCTGATGACGAGTGTTGCGACCAGTGGCGGTTGAACTCCTTCTCCCCCTCTTTTTGGCTCTCTGCCTGGACCTGATCGTCGACAAGAGTTTCTGCATGTGAGCCAAGCCTCTGTAGCTCAATATCCTCCATGTCTTCGTCATGTAATCCGATTTCGCTAGATTGTGTGCCCAGTCCGTTGTTAATCCCCTTATTCTTCGCCAGGGCCCACGTGCCTGTACTCCTACTCCCTGCTCCAGTCCCGTTCCCCGTGTTATTGGTACCAGTAAATGTCCCTGTCCCGTAGGCTCGGTAGCCATGACCACCACTCCTTCCTCCGATTGCTCCCAGGGTGAGCCTCCTCTGCCGTCTGCTAAACATGGGCTTTAACGCGCTGACACTGGCGCACGAAATGGCGATGGTCACCTCGATCACCGACCATAGGTTGACTTTGGTTCCCTCGTGGAACGGGTCTGTGGCTAGGGTGTAGGTGTAGATGGTGTGCAGGCGGACGATGGAGGCGATGGTGGCGAAGGTACCGACGCCGAAGATGAGGAAGAGAGCGACCTTTTCGCGTGGTGGGCGGTGAATTTCGCGGAGGGTGGAGATGGGGAGGAGGAGGATCCAGATGTCGGTGACGATGTTGAAGCTGGAGGTGACTGTGGGTGGTGTCAGTATGGGTAGAGGAAAAGGGGCAGAAGAATTCTCACAGTAAAAGAAAGCGGTTGTATTGATGCAGGTGCCTTTAACAGTGCCGGTAATGTCCCAAAACTTGTGAATAGGTTGACATTGTCCCAGAGTGGTGAAGATGCAAACAAGAACGAAAACAACGTGCAAGACGATGGTTCCTATGCAAAGATTACGAAAAGTGCGTGTCACGGCTGGGAAACGGTTAGTCAGGTATACGACGGGTGCTGAGCCGGGCTGACTTACCGAATCGGATGTAGGTAAAGAGAATGGACACCTTGATGCAAAAGACGTTGACATAGTACATGACTTCAATGGCGAGAACGATTTTGAGGAAGTTGACCATGTTTTGCATAGTGAGCGTCGACATTGGCAGCCCGATGCCATTCTGCGCAGCGAGGATGACATTGACGAGATAACCAAGAGTGAGGGTCTGCGAACATCAGTCAGTCTCCAATACGTTCCCTCACAAGAAGTGTCAACAACCCACCATAGCAGCAATGATAAAGTAGTCATCTGGGCCAGGATTTCGGATAAGGATGAACCTGCTGACGCACCGAAGGATGACGAACAGCACTGGAGCCAGTCAGGACCTCTTCAGGAAATAATAGATAGCCAAGGGCGATAGGGTCACTAACGGGCCACGACTATCATGACGGCCGAGACAATGATGAAGGCATTTTGTCGTCGTATATCCTCAATGGGTGGTTGATTCATGACTGTGAAGCTTGCGGTTGTAATGGGTGAAAAAGAGACGGCCAGCCCAAAGGAACGGAATCACGAAGCTGGACCCTGGGGAGGTCTGGCTTGTGGGGAGAGGCGAGTAAAGGTTACATGATGCGTTGATCTGACGGTATGGACCCAAGGGCATGGAGATATAAGGCAGATATTCAAGTTGTACACTAGGCAAAGTTTAAAAAAGGAATGCACATGCATGACTCGGCTCTTCGGTTTAATCGTGTGTAGCAAGAGATGGGGAGGCAAACCCGTAGTGGCTCGCTTGGCTAACCAGTGAGGCCATTCAGGCGGGCCAATTTCCGCCATCTGGGTGGGTTTAGTTGAGAGGAATACGGAAGATTGTCATATTTGAGCACTGGGGATTCCTGGTACTGTAGGGAGCGGGCATTCTTATTTGCTCCTTGGGACAAATGACGATCGCCTAGGAGCCACCACCACGTGGGGAAGACGACGAGATCGAGCTGGAGTTCGGCTTTCGATGACGCGCATGAGAGTTCCTGCACTCAGAAAAGATGCGCACTGATACTCCAGAAAAACGGGATGATGATCACCGCCCTTCCACATGGTTGCCTGGACAAAGAAAGTCCGGACGGGAGGCTCTTCAAGATGTGACCATGCAAAGACAACACGTTGTATCCTTGCTAGCAAAGATCCAAACCAAACCGTTGGGCGAAGCTTTTTCCCTTTTTGATGATAGTGTTCAGTCAGGGGTACATAGTAACAAGATGAGATGAGAGATGAGTTGATGTGGTTGAAACAAGAAGTTGAAGTTGCGGTCTGGGTTGAGAAATGTAAGTGTAGAGGGTAGACGGGGGGTAAAAGTCCCGGGTATGCAAGAAATTCACTGCTTGTGCCTGCAAAACATACAACGACAAGAGGAAAGGAGAGAGTGAGTGACGGCACAGAGATCCGACGGTAATAAACAAACGGACGATAGGCGAGATGTCGGTTAGATGAAGGATCGGAAGCCGGCCATGGACGGGAAAACGTTGTGGGCTCGGAAAGAGTACCGCTGTAGCATTGAAGCTCACTGAAACTTTAACGTACAATACGCTACTGTGTCAGAGTAGAGTAGCGCCCAGGGGAGAATGTTTAGTGTAGTGTAAACCTGGAATGCCAAGAATTCAAAGTGGGGTTTTTGTTTCTTCAAATTGTCCAATCATCGAGTCTTCTAAGCGTCCATTGATTTCACGTCTGACACAAGCAACTGAATTCAGCAATCGATAGCAGAGAAAATTCTGCCACCAGATTCCGCCTGAATTTTGGCGACCGCATTCCATCTCTCCAACCAACAACACTGCATGATAGTACTGACATCTGATCGCATCGGCCACTTCAATCCACTCAACAGTATCACGATCCCAGTCGTCATTCGCACCACCGCCAACATGGATGCTCCCGCCGTCGCCGAACCCTCGGCGCAAAGCCAGCAGAACCCCGCCCCCACCACCACCACAGCGCCCGCTGCCGCTACCTCGACGACTACGAAGCCCGTTCACTCCCTCGTCATCGACGCCAACGTCATCATCAAGAACGACCCCAGCGTCTCTACTCTTATCGCCCAAGCCGAGGAGCTCTACACCATTCCCTCGGTCGTATCAGAAATTCGCGATGAGGCCACTCGACTCCGATTCCAAACCACCCTCATGCCCTTCCTCAAGTTCCGCACCCCCCGCCCGGAGTCCATCAAGTTCGTCACCGACTTTGCCCGCCGCACCGGTGATCTTATGGTCCTTTCCAAGCCCGATATCCACTTGATCGCTTTAACGTATGATCTTGAGTGCGAGAGGAACGGTGGTGATTGGCGGTTGAGGAAGGAGCCCGGGCAGAAGTCGGTCAATGGTGCGCCACCGGCTAAGGAGGGCGAAGAGAAGGAGGCCACAACCGAGGAGAAGAACGACGCTGCTCCCGTAACGGAGGAGAAGACCGAGGAGGTGAAGCAAGTGGAGGAGCAGCTCGAGAAGCTGGACATTGGAAGCCAAGAGCAGGAGACAACACCTGCTCCCGAGGAAGAGGAGGAAGAAGAGGAGGAGAACGATGGCGAAGCCTCCGACGACGACGGCGAATGGATCAGTAAGTCCCCTCTTTATCTCCCCAAACTCTTTTGCCCCCTACCACCAGTTGCTAACAAGCTTGCTGCAGCCCCCACAAACATCAAAAAGGTCCAAGCCCGCGAATCCGCCCACGTCGCCCCCGAGCCCCTCCAAAAAACGCTCCAGGCAGCCCTCATCACCTCCGACATGGCCATGCGCAACGTCTCCCTGCGCATCAACCTGAACCTTCTCGACTCCGCCTTTGCGCGCATCACCGTTCTCAAGACCTGGGTCCTCCGCTGCCACGGCTGCTGGAAAGTGTGCAAGGACACCACCAAGCAATTCTGCCCTTCTTGCGGCCAACCCACGCTCACCCGCGTTTCTTGCACTACGGACGCCGCCGGCAACTTTACTTTGCACCTCAAGAAGAACTTCCAGTTCAACAACCGCGGAAATGTTTACAGCATCCCTAAGCCGACGCACGGTACGGCGAGCGGGAAGAACCAGAATGTGAAAGGTGGTGGAAAGGGAGGTTGGGGTAAGGAACTGATTCTCGCCGAGGATCAAAAGGAGTATATCAGGAGGACGGAGGAGGAGAAGAGGACGCGGTATAGGGATCTGATGGATGATGATTACTTGCCGGGTATCTTGACGGGGCAGAGGCAGGGCGGGACGGGGAATAATAGGATCAAGGTCGGAGCGGGGAGGAATGTTAATGCCAAGAAGAGGAGGTGAACGGTTAGCCAGTGTGGCTAGCTAATGTGCTTGGTTGATGCTGAGGGCATCCTGGATCTGGGCTGAAAGGAAAAAGGGATGATTTCTGCTTTTGTTGGTAGTCACTGTCAATGGCGTCATGGCGTTAGGTTTCATCAAAGATATGTTTGTTTTTCTGTCTATTTAGAGGAACACTTTCTGAGAACGTCTTGCGTGCAGCCATCTACGGTGATACATCATGGTACAACAATGCTATTTCAACAGCTCCTTGCGCCTGTGCCTGTGCAAATCCCCGGAACTGTGCCCATGCCCTACGAATGATGACACTAACTGCCTTATGAATGCATCGAATCGTCTGTCTACTGCCCTCATCTCCAGGATAACCTGAACCCGAACTTCAACCCTACAATCTCAACTTCAACCCTACAATCTGAACCTGAACGGCCTCAAACCTGGGAACCCGATTCTCGAAACCAAGAACAAAGATCCACCCGAACATCAAGCCTCGAACTCAATCTTATCATCAACCATCCTTTTCAACCCCAATCATCCTCTCCATCTCCAATTCTGATTTCAATAATATAAGCCCTATCTAATTATTTCGACATCCAGTCCTCACATCCCTAGAGGTACTTCGAGTCAGTCTCAGCCTCAGTTTCAGCCTCAGTCTCAGCCTCAGAATCTACCTCTATTCTGATTCCTCTGAGCCCGTGAAAGATGTCATCTCATGAGGACATGAACGGCCGGGGCTCGTTCAAAGTGCTACACGTAGAACTCCTGTCAAGTACACCTGCCAATCCGCCAAATATACCTATACCTAGGTAAGGTATCTAACCTAATACATCCATCAATTTGCCATCACCATCATATTTACCCTATCCATCCATCCATCCATCCGTAAGCCCAGCCCTACCCAACCAACCAAAATCCCACGTCCCCCAGCCGGCCGGCCGGCAAAAAAGTGAAAGACTGAGAACGAGAGCGAGAGTTGTTGACCACAGCTACCTGCCTGCCTACCTAAGGTACGTACGTACGTAGCGGTGCTTTACTCTCGTAAGCAAGTGTGCTTTGGTTTATGTATGTATGTCCTTGATCTGACGGACAGCGTTGAGAGATAGATGTCTGGCTTTGTCGTCTGTTAAGTAGTTTTGATTTTATTAGCCTATGGGGTAGGTTAGTAAATACCGACACTAGACTTGGGCTGGCTGGCTGCTTGTAACTTCCTGGGTTGATATATGTGGCATGGTACAGTATTTCCGGGTACAGTGGGTAGGTAGTAAGTGTTGGTCGGGACTGGAATGGAATGGAATTTGTTGAGTCGGATGGCAATAGCCTCGCGCATTTGATATGAACGGTAGTGTGCTGAGTAAGGATTTACGGGATAGGGAGAGGAAGGAAGGCATGGAGAGAGAATGAGCGAGCGGTCACGCCAGTCATGCATGGTTCATTGGAGAAATAGGAGGAGAAGGTGAACACGGTGAGGAGCGGACGGACGGTCTGCTGTGACCACCAATGTATCATCAACGGACCGAGAAAAAAATCATCGAGAAAGTCATTGGTATTGTTTTTCCCACACTATATGCTCAGAAGCAAGCAAAAAGACGCCAACCAAATCCCAGTTAGCCAAATGACTAGACTGAAGGAGAGATCCCGTATCCGATAAACGCCACACAGAGGAGGAAGAAGACAAGCTCTGCCCAACTTGTCTTTTCCTTTTTTGGAAAACCTGAAAGAGAAAAGAAAAAAAAAAACATGCAATATAGATCAAGCATCAGAAAGGTGTTTCTCCGGGATCCAGAGAATCCGAAACAAGCCAGTTCAGTCAGTCGGTTGCCATCCCGCCGCTGCTGCTGTCGGTTGCCATCATTGTCTTGTGTGTCATTATCTGAAACCAAAGCAAGCCCCCCGGTCGTCGTGGATTGCCAATTTCCACTTCCAAATTGTTGCAAGTAGGGAAGAAAACCGTCTGCCAACGATCGGTTCGATTGAAGATCCAACGGGATAATAAAATGCTAACGCTGCAGGAGAGCAGCGGCCAAAAACGAGGTCGTGGTCGTGGAAGCAAGAACAAACTGGTCGAGCACAGCAGATAGGCGGACAAGAAGAGAAGGTTGTTGGTCAACTACTTCATGTAGCTACCGCGAGCGTTGCCGTCCTTTTTGTTGAAAACGGCTTAGTTCTCCATGTTCTTGACCATCTTGTAGTACTGGTCCAGATAGTACTCGTCCGGGTGATTGGCCTCGAGCATGGCCTTGATCTTCTTGTCGAAATTGTTCTCCTGCTTGAGCATGTGTTGGTCCAACATATAGGAGAAGACGGCGGCCTTGACGTTGAACTTGTAGTTGTCGGTTTTTCTCCTGAAATTGTCTTTTTCGTCTTCCATCATCTTAACAAGGTTGTTGTGGGTGTCGACATCGTCCGGGGCGACGAGTCTCGCGCCGGACGCGAACAAAAGACGGGTGGCGGCATTGACATGGAACTTAGTCTTGATTTCGGTCAATGGATCCCGCTGGCCACGGTCACTCTACTCGGTGGTCTTGTTGAGAGCCTCTGTTCGCAGCGAAAAAAAGGAACGTCAGCCGCTGCTCAACTCCATTTCACTGGCAATTGAGTGGGTGGAAAAATACATACTCTGGGCGAGAAGGACCGCAAAACGGCGGCGGAGAGTGATGCGGTGACGAGACCACTTGTCGTCGGGAGAGAAGCGAGCGGGGTGGGCGCTCTTGGTGACCTGACCGTCGAGGACCTTCTTGAGGGTGTACTGGCGCGCGAGCGGCTTGCCGTCGGCGTTCTTGGCGGGGACGTACATCAAATGCATTTTGGCGGTTTGGTCTGAGCTGTGGATGTGTGTAGAGTGATTTGGTATGGTCTGGCGAGCGGGAAAATGTGTGTGGTAATGTGGGATGGAGAAGGTGAGGTTGTCGTGAGAGTTGTCAGATTCAATCTGCTGCCTTTCGATAATTTTCGACGTTGCCGCGCCGACGATGGAAAAGAAACTGCAACAAAAAATGGAGTGGTCTGTGCGCTGCTGTCGCTTAAGGCAGGCGGTGGAGGAGCAGCTGCCCCACACTGCAAGGCACGTCTAACTGGACAAGGGAATTAGTGGGGTTTTAAGATCGATTCCCTGTTCATCCAATTGTCATTGCTGTGAGATGGGAAGGCACGGAACTTCCAGATCTTGAAGTCTTGAATCTCAATTCTGCACCGCGGGCAACGGTCATTGGACAGATTCTTTTAATCATGGTTCAGTGCGCCGCGGGTACGGATTCACACTTCATTGACCACGGTAGTTCATCAACGTGCCGCGAACAAAGGCCTCCAGAACAATGTCTTTTTGATCCTCACGACAGTTCTTGTCTCCCTGTTCCTCAAATTCCCGTGGGCTATCAACATAATCAAGTTACGGCAATATGATGTGTCCCCATTGTTCAGACCTTGTCAGGGACATATCCATGATCAATGTCTCGTAAAGAGTTTACTCTCATTCTTCCGGCGGAATGACACAAAATGCCGAACAATGCCCTTCACAGGTTCCCTTTCGCCGGGAGTGTTCTCTCCTGATTCGGACACAACAATCATTGCTTCATTTCAGTATCCTGAACAGTCTAGTTGTCAACCCCCACAGCGTGACTTTAACACAAGCATAAATACTCAATAACCCCGTCACCCCAATTCCAGAATTCGAAATGATCTCGCTCATCATCACGACAACAAAAAGTCTTTGAATCAACAAGGCATCAAATAAGCTTTTACGAGAAAAAGAGCACTCCAAAAACCAAGGTAACCACCCCATCCCACAACTAACAAACCACTACTCCCAACCACCATCAGACATCCCAAGGTAAACCTCATCCATCCCAAGATAACCATACCACCAAAATGTGTCAAGGCCGCATAATCTCCCACTTCTGCCCCTCCGCCCTCGCCGGCGACCCCCGCTGCCCTGCTTACCGCCTCACCACCCTTAACGGCGGACGTATCCCCGCCTGGTCCTATTATTTCGACTCAGCCACCGCTCACTGCTGCGGTCGACATTCTCCCCGCGTCGACTGTGGCGACTGTCCTTACAACACGTATGGCCGACGTAGTGACGTTACCCGCTTAGGGCAGGAGGTGGTGTCGGTTTGTGTGATTCAGGGAGAGAGTATATGCCCGGTCTGTTCGAGACGGTTTGAGCGGGAGAGGAGGGAGGCTGGAGAGGAGACGGAGGGGTGGGCGGTGAGGGAGATGTGGAGGGGGAAGGAGAGGAGGGAGAGGGAACGATTGGAGAGGATGGAGAGGGAGGAGAGGATTGAGGAGGGGAGACTGGTTGGGGAGATGGAGAGATTGAGGGTTGAGGATCGGTTTGGGAGTGTGGAGAATGTGGAGGTTTTGAGGAGGGAGTTTGAGGGGATGAGGTTTTGTTGATGGGTGAGGTAAGTGGTTGTAAGACTGACCTCGTTTGAGGAGGTAGGTAAGTACGAATGGCTGTTGTAAGGTCATGGTCGTGGGCCGCGAGTGAGTTGGAACAACTGATGTGGCATACAAGGTTCAAGTATGTCGTACTCATAAGTTGAGAACGTTACTTTCAGGCGCCCGTAATAATTATTCAAGTCTTCCCACTCTCGAACACGTTTTACTTGCAAGTGACTGTTATGATGCTTCCCAAGCTGATAATTTGAAAAAGGAGACAATTTCCCTCAGGCAATCTAGAACAAATTGCCCTATATAGTTAGATGCTTTGGACCCACATTCAACAACATCGGACCATATCAGTTCAATCGGGTATGGTGTAGCGGTAACATCGTTGACTCTCACTTCTCAGGAGTGACTGCTCTCTCAACAGCCCCGGGTTCGACTCCCGGTATCCGAGTCTCAATATCTTTTTGCGATTTTTCGCTCTGTCACTTGTGATGTTTAACAATCGCCAATTGCTCCTTGTCTTTTTTGTTGCGTTTTTCTTCCATGCCAGATTCTGGTTTCATTAATTGTCATTCGTGTTTTTCCTCCAATTTTTGCATGTATCCTCCATCCATTACCGCGGCAGTTGAACGATGCCACGCGGACAAACAACATGAAACGCCGCACTGCAGTTCCTTTCTCCCAACAATTGATGAACAACAAGATGAACACCGGTTTTCCATCACCAAGCCGTCCTTCACACTCACTTCGGGTCAGGAGTAGCACCGACAGCCTCGACCTTCCTCTGCAACTCCAAAACCTCGGCAATCGTCAACGGTTTGTCGGATCTCTTGAACCCTTCTTCGATCGGGAGTCGTTCCTCTTCTGTTCAATTTGTTAGCGCCGTGTTCCACTGCACCAAAGCACACAGCCGCAAGCGCCCTGCTGTGATTTTCACACCCGCATCACCGCCACAAAATCTCCTTTCCATCCACCGTCTCCCATCAACCACCATCTTTCTTCCCGCCTGTTTATCCTCCCCCGAAAAAAAAAAAAAAAAAAAAAAAAAAAAAAAAAAAAAAAAAAAAAAAAAAAAAATGAAAGAAAGAAATAAACTCACCAAACAAAACCCTCACCCACCTCGTCTCCGCCCCGCCCTCCGTCCCCCTTCCAAACACCCTCAAATACAACGCCGTCTCAATCGCACTAAACCTCTTATCCTCCTTACTCATCCTGAAATTCGGATTCCCTCTCGGCCCCTCTTCAATTCTCCAACCGCGCATCCTCGCCGCCTTCTCGATACTAATCCTCTCCTCATCACCCAGTACCTGCAGCGTAGCGGCCCATATCTCCGGGACAAACGTATGGTTATCAAAATTGGGCGGGGCCGACAAGTCAGCGCGGGAAAGGGACCCATCATGTTCGATGACGCCGTGCTGGTTGAGGTCGGATAGGTGGAATGTCGTCCAGTGGCCGGTGGTGCTGGCTTGGAGGGCTTTGATGCCTACGATCAAGGTCGCATTGGGGGAGAGGTTGATGCCTCGTTGTAGACCGTGCATGAGTTGGGCGAGGGAGATGTCGCGCCCCGAGTGCGGGAGGTAGCCGTGGTTGGCGAGGGCGTTGAGCATTGGGCAGGGGGAGCGGCCTGCATTATTTTTTGTTAGCGCTATAGGAGGATGATCGAGCGGAGCGTGGAAAGAAAAAAAAAAAGAAAAA